CCCATGATTTATTTTTCGAATAGAAAGAGAAGATATGTTAAGTTATTTTTTATTTTGTTCGAATATATATATATATATATATATATATATATAATTACATTTATCATGAACTTTATTTATTCTTTATGCATTTATTTAATTCTGGAAGGTTTTTTGAACGGTACATAGTCAATTTTATGATTAATATATATAATATATAATATATAAATATATAATATACATGCTAAAGTGTATGTGTGTATATATATATATACATATATTACATGCATTTACACATTTTTACCATCAAATTGACTATTTACCATACATTGCTTCATGTATGTATTACTGTTTATTGGTAAGTTATTGATGCCAAAGCCAATGCATGTTAAAAAAGTATTCTGCTGATTTGCAAAAAAAAGACCTTATATGACATAATTTGATGATGCTGAGTTCACAAATATCAATTTCCAACGCATGCAACATATCAATGTTAATGAGAGTTATTCTTCACTAACTGTGACTTCTGTTCTAATAGTTTGGGTTTGTGTCTGTGATTGGATGTGTTCAGGCGGGGCGTATTACCTGATCTCCAGGAGTTTGGGTCCAGAGTTTGGAGGATCCATCGGTCTGATCTTTGCCTTTGCCAATGCCGTCGCTGTGGCCATGTATGTCGTAGGTTTTGCAGAAACCGTCGTTGAACTTCTCACGTGGTGTCTTTGACAGGCCCAGATTGTGTTAATGGTGATTCTTGTGGCGGCTATTTGCAACTACTTCATCGGATCCTTCATCTCCTTGAAGTCAAAGGAACCTCAAGGCTTCTTCGGTTATAACGGTAGGTCGTGTGATCATTGATAATTATTTAAGATCAGTGCTGGAGGAACGACTCCAATGGCAAGTTCATTCCATTTCTAGTCGTGTCCTCTTTTGGAAGACCAAACAAAGTAGTTTCGCTTTCACAACGAAACACACAGCATCTTCACAACATGGCGGCGGCAGCAACAATACTACAGAGAGAATAAAAGTTACGCCTTCTTTCTTTGCGTGAACATTTGGGCGGCGTTATGCAAATCTTCCCACATAGTGATGTAGACATGTGGGGGCGTGTTAGAACGAGCCGTTTTAGGTAGGAGTGGCTGACTCTGAACTTTTATAAAGTTCAAAAAATCTCTTTGGATTTGAGATTTTAGTCTTTGCAACTTTACAGATCTTCTTTATTCACCAAGAGCTTGTAACACTCCAAAGAGAAAGTTGAAATCACATCATATGACCCCTTTAAAAGAACCGTTTATTCTTAGTGTGAAGAACCGTTTGAATCCACTATGAAGAACCTTTAGTTCATTTGGATGTTAAAGGTTCTTCATGGAACATTGATGCTAATAAAGAAGCTTTATTTTCAAGAGTGCATTTGAGTTCTGCTGGATTTTGGCGGTCATCACAGCTGATTTGGTCTCTCTAGGATCCGCAGTCAGCGATTCCGAAAGGAACTCTCCTGGCGATCCTCATAACTGGAGTGGTTTACATCGCTGTGGCCATCTCGAACGGTATTTGAGTGCCGTTCTTTCTCTGATTGTTGTCGACTCATGCATCAGAGGTGATGTTTTGCGTTCGCTGTGCTTGCAGGCTCGTGTATCGTGCGGGACGCCACAGGCGATGATAACGACACCATGGTGGGCTCGCTGGAGAACTGCACCGACGCCGCATGCACGCTGGGATACGACTTTTCCATCTGCAAAGAGGGCGGCTGCAAGTACGGCCTTCTGAACGACTTCCAGGTGTGTGACAGCAACTGCAGGGACCAGATGTGCTCACAGTTATCATTATTATGTTGGAACGCATATGATGATGTTCAGTGTTACTTTTAAAAGTAATGCGTTACAATATTGCGTTACTCCCTAAAAAAGTAACGAATTACTTTTTATGGAAAGTAATGCGTTTTGTTACTTTTGCGTTACTTTTTCTCATCTGGGCTGGGCTTGCTTGTTTGTTTTTAATATAAAAAAGTTCTATTTTTGACAAATGTATAAAATCGTGAAGCGTGAAGCGTGTAGGGGTCAAAAAAAATATTTTTTTTGGAACGCACTTCGGCGTCATCTTAACGAGACGATTAAGTAGGCGCCTTCGTCGCACATTTTCTACGCCGGTTGACCTCCAATCGTCTTTTACGTTAACTATAATGTATATTTGTATATGTAATGTAATATGTATTTGTAATGTATATTGTGTCTATGTATTTGAAACATTTGAATGGACTGATAAAGGTAGCTGTAAAGTATTTTTGTTAAAGTACAATGTAGTTTTGACCATAATAATGCACCAAATCTAACTTGTATAAATATTACAGTAGTATGCTATACATACATTTATAGGCGAAGGCGAACTCTGTGACGCCAAACAACTTCCCTGTGCAAAGGATCA